CTTGAAATGATAAAAACTTCGATATAAATTTGTTAATAAGAACTTTTTGAATGTTATTATATTTTTTGTATCTAAAATTAGATGTGTTCCGGGTACCCGGTTATCGAGTCCAAACCGGGTACCCGATATCATATTCAGTACCCGACTAATACTCGTTACCCGGCGAATTATTAAAAGATGACTTGGACAGTACCCGGTACCCGGTGTAAAGCTACATTTTTACCCTGGAATATACCCGGTACCCGGCTTAATAAACCCGGCACCCGGGTTATTAATAATAAAAAAAAATGTGCGCCCACAATCAACCAAACGAAAATATTTTATAAAATTATAATAGTAGTTACTAGTTACTAGTTAGTACTAGGCACTAGCCCCTCCGGCCCCCATGCTAGTTGTTATGACTATAAAATAAATGTTTTTACTTTTTATGCTTTATTTTAATTTTTAATTTTGTTTAAGCAAATTAAAACTATAAGTAGTTATGTTTGCAGACTTGCAGCTAATTTTTTATTAAGTAATTACCTATCTGCTATTTAGAGTGAATCAACCTATCAATTATTATGAAACTTGATGGTTAAAAGTTAAAACATTATCTGAGTTTGTATGTGGGGTTTTTACAATAATTCAGTTTTTAAATGATCCATGAGCATTTTTAATTTATGCTATATTATGCAAAACTTTCTAAAAAAAATTAAGTATCACAAAAAACCATATACAAATTACAAACTGATAATCTCCATTAAATGTTGAATCAGTTTTAAATTTTAACAGACATTATTATTTATTACTTGGCTAATACTCAGTACATGGTATTTAATATTTATGTAAATTATTACTTGACCAGTACCCGAGACTCAGTTTTTAAAAAAATTATTACTCGACCAGTACTCGAGACTCGGTTTAAAAAAAATTATTACTCGACTAGTACTCAAGACTCGGTTTAAAAAAAATTATTACTCGACCAGTACTCGAGACTCGGTTTTAACAGATATTGTTACTCGACAAATACTCGGTACCCGGTTTATAAGTAAAAACTGTACCCGGAACACCTCTATCTAAAATTAAAAATATGTGTGGGTAGTATTGATAAGTTTCCAGTTAATTTGACCATGCTACAAAAAAAGTATAAAAATACTTTTTATCAACCATATATTCTCACTAATCTATTAAAACTTCAAACTCACATTAAATAACTTACTTCCCCTCTTATCCACTTTTGTTTAAATAAGAATTTCGAACATTCAACACAGTCAAAAACTATTTTGTAAGACAGGCCCGATATATATACTAATAGTAGGTAAATAAAAAATTTCCTCAAGCACCAACATAATATATATTAGTATAAAAGTATATTGAGAATTTGCGAAGGTCATTATTAATAAGTATAACGCGTCAAAGTATACCTAATCAATTTTTATTACTTTAATCGATTGATATTTATTTAAATGGTCTTTATAAGTTTATATTTCCAATCACAAGTCACAACTGAAATTGTCCACTCAAGTAGCTGGCTGTAAAAAGCTTTTGAAGCAAATGTTATATTTTTTACATTTAAATACTCAGAGCGAACGTCACATTATGGTTTGGAAATTGTAATTTGTCGCTCACACGTGTAACATATCAAAAACAAGGCAAGTACCTACCTAATGGCTAATGAGTATCAGGACTCACAATATTACATAAAACAATATTTTCAAGGGCATCCATGAATTATAATTCATAATATCGTTTTTTCTTTATAATTATTAATACAACTGTTACAATTTTAAACTATAGCAAGTATCTAGATACCCAAGTACTAACATAAACTTAAAAATGGTAATTTATGAAACTTTTGGTTCATTTTGTTTAGAAACAGAAAAAATTGTTTGAGACACCCTCGAGATATTGATTTATTGGATTTGTATAATAGTAAGCGTATAAGCTCAAAATTCACTTACCAATAATTTACGAGTTTATGACCGATCTGTGTGAACTTGTTTTTGCTATGTTGTACACGTGTGAGAGACAAAGATAACAAACCTTGGTATGGCATCGTCTTAACAGACAATAAAACATCCAATATACCACATACGTCTTAATACTTGTATCTATAGTCAATAAAATAAATAACATTGCATTGTACATGAATAATTTAAAATCGATATCTTTAGTAGAAATATAACTTTAAAGTAATTGTATAGGTAGGTACACTATTTTAGTGATTTAGGAAGTTTAAGTAAATAACAATATTCATTCAAGGTGTACCTACACAATTAACTAGATATAATAAGTTGCGCAGTCGAATGACAATATAGAATGTCAATAGTCAATACTATATGTACCTACATTACATTAATTAGGTACTAAATCAATTATTAATTAGATCATTTTAAAATATTAGAAACGAAAACAATCGATACAGATTTCAGACATCTGGGCATCTGGCTCAGTCTTACACTCCTATTACAATAACATACACTCTTATACAACAAGCATGCACTTTACCATGTCTACATTCTATGCAACCATAAATTCCCATCAGAATCTATAGTTTTTTGTTCTTTGTGCAACAGTTAATAACTAGAAAACTTCCAGATTAATTTTTGAATAAATATTAAATAAGATGGGTGTATACACATAAGCCCATAAAACTCCTAAAATATTAATCCAATTTTATTCTAATAACAATGAAATCAGTATATTGCCATATTAGTATAATATCGTATTTGAAGTTTTTTTTTTTCTGACAATGTATGATGAGATAAAAACATGTCCATTTTACCCCACGTAAAAGTGCACGAATTAAAAATTTGACACTTCTTTAATCGGTTTGTTGACTGTTGAATAAAAAAAAACAACTGATCAATGTATGCAGAATTCCGATATCGCATTGAAGGAAACAATACCTTGTCGAAATAATAATAAGCTTTCGTAAATGCTCGTTTATAAATTACTTTACAGATCATTCCGAGAGTCCGACTAAATAAATTATACTAGGCGATACCCATATATTATATAGTCAGGTGCCTATATGTAGACATAAAGTACATTTTAATTTTATTGAGTATCGTGTGTCGTGCGATCGGGAAGTATATAATAATATATTCGATATAACTAGTATTAAACTATTAACTACATTAGGCACAAAAAATCGAAGAGGAAAAAAAGGAATCGCGTGCATTTACGTCTTATAAACGTCACGTTGAACTAATTGACTTCAATATTATATTATACACTTATTATAGGTACCTACTGCAGTACTGCGTGATTGTGTTATAGCGGGAAAATTAGCATAAGAGGCGATTGTATACCTACAACCTACATAATTGCGCATACAAGAGCAAGGCGGTCATTCTTACGCCGCGATCGTTGTTGCGGTGATTTGGAGTGTTTGTTAATTGCGAATGAACCGCGACAAAAAAAAAAAAAATACATAATTTGCTAATTAAACTAACCGATAACGGCGGCGGCGGCACCGAGTAATGGACCGTTAAACAAAAAATTGCAAAAAAAAACACATAACGCGAGTGCGCCCATTAGCTATGACGTAGGCACTATAAATGTCACAGAATAATTAATGAATTCATTTTAAGTAATTATTACGTTTATTATGTGCGATGTAAAGTAATACATATATTTTGTAAGTATACACGTTTTGTACACTACGCGATATCTTTTAATCAACCAGTCCATTGATGACCGTGTGTGCGTGTGACGAAAGAGTACTTTAATTTTGTTTTGTTAAAACGGGTGAGAGGACCTCCTGAGCCCGCGGTCGATCGGGAGGGTCGGAATAACGGAAAGACTTCTGAAAGCGAGATAGTCGATCAGTATACGTCATTATGAAAGACGCGTATTCGATTCGATCATAGACAACAATAGTGGTGATAATAATTATAATAATAATAGGACTCGGGAGGTCGTTCCGAGTGGGATAGACTTTACTATAATGTAATATTATAGTACGTATATATATATAGCTGCCGTGCACTCATAACGTCTGTATAAAATACGGACGACGGCGCCTGATAGTGCGTAGTTAATCTATTCTGTGCTATTACCGCGGAGTGTCCGAAAATCGTGACGCCCAGACATTTGGACTCACTCGACCTGCGGACAGAGACCTCTTGCAACCACCCCTCCGAACGCGCCGAGAGAGCCGCTTCTACTACAACAGTTGTACTACGACTACACAATATAGTAGTACACTACTACCGCTACGGCGGCGCTATAATATAAATATATTATATATATATATACTGTCATTACCTAACCGTTGTACTCGCCGCCGATAAAAGTGATATCGGCCGAATAACGTGTTTTCAACGCCGCCTTATCAAGAGTTTCCGCCGCCGCCGACACGTTAATAACAAACATAATAATATTATTATATTAAAAAAATTGATAGATTTATTATTATTATATTACGTTATTGCCATTATTATTATTATTATTTTTTCTATAATAAGTTCGTCGGCGTGTCCGCGTGTAGTGTGCCTATCGCGTAGTACGTTGCAGCCGCACTCGTAGTACGCACCGCCGTCGTTTTCTGACCGTCTCCTCGTCCGTTGTTGCCCGCAAATCTCCGAAATCGTTTCTCGTAATACTGTCGTTATTATTATTCTTACCTTTCATCGACATACACAATATTTTATTATCAAACACACACCACCGTACTAATATTATTGTTGGGTTATTATATCGTACGACGAAATAGTCGTAGAAGAGGACGCGTATTGACTCGCCCGCGTGTTTGCCTTCGGTAGTTTTGCGCAACAGATACATAATAATATATACATATACGACTCGATAATATAATAATAATAGACATAAATATAATAATAATAATAATTATAATATATTCTCGAAGCGATTGTGTGCCACACGCAATCGCGTATCTCTCCGCGTTAATTTGATTTACGCACAACTCGTTTTACCTGTTTTTACTTTTATCATTATTTTCCTCGACCAGAACGGTATTTCGTATTTTCGTTATTCCTCCTCCCGCCGACTGCACTATGGCCGACGCTTTTTTTGGAGGTATTGAAGGGTAAGTCTACGATTAAATATGTATTAATTTGACATGTCTTCCCAACTGCCGCGTTACTGTAATATTAATACATGTATTTTGTGCGCATAACAGGGGAGCATCGGTTTCCACGGTCGTCATAACCAATGGCAACGGAGACATTTTATCTGAACTTAAAGGAGAAGGCACAAACCCGTGGGTAAGTATCATAATATATATATTACTTGTTCGTACAACTTTAAAACGAAATTTGATTTCTTTTCAAACAAACTGAGGTATGCTTGATGTTTAGACAGTAAAAATTAGAAATACAGTATTACAGTTTAGCTTACATTTTCATGAAAACTACTATCTGTTGACTGTTAATAGATACTAGGTAGATAATAATATAGCTACCTACATTTTTTTATTTTCTTATCAGACCACATAGATATAATTAGGTACCTAACTAATATCATTGATACAAAATAATTGTTTAAAAGTTAAGATTTTTCTTGGCTATAGTTTTGCTTATAAAAACATAAAATCTTGTTTTTCTTTATTTATTTTCAATATTTTAAAGGTACTGCACATTTGAAATTCACCTGTTTCTTAAAAAATACAAAAGTACATTTATATAATTGTATTTGTATCATTTATATGAAGTATGAACGGTTACACAGACAATCTCAATTAATTTAAAAAATAAACGTACAATGTTGGACAATTCAAATTTTATATTTTTCCAGTAGAGCTCTGTCATTTTTATTTAGACACTATTAGATATCAATCGACAATCACCTAGGTATTTAAAGAAATTATGAAGTTACAATAAAATATAATATAGTTCTGATCATGGATAGTCTTATAGATACACTATCGTAGTCCGTAGTTCAGATAGTATAACTAGCAAAAATAGAATACAGCAATTTAGCAATCTTAGAAGACTCAATTTATTTTTTAATAGCTGTTAGATTAATGAGCGATGGATAAAAAATATATTGTAGGTACCTATAATCATATATTTATATTTAAGTCGATCAATTTATACGACCCTACAAAGACCTAATGATCAAGACATTTCTGATATGCTCATTTAACATACATATTAAGTTTATTTTATTTTAAATTATAATAATAGTTTAAAATAAAATTACATTACCTACCTATAGAAATTTATAATTCGATAATATGTATTTTTTGTACTCACTAAATAAATTAAAGGTTGAAAATCATTAATGATTAAATGGGTTATAGGAAGATAAATATGATAAATAATAAATAGGCATTGATTTTGAAAATTATACAGATATCTCATAAATTAACCAATGTTTCTTATATAATAATATAATATTGTGAATTTATTTTAAATAAAATATTTTTGCTGTTTTCACAAAACTATGGCATGATTTATTATATATCAATTTTAAGCAACACATGTTTTTCTATTATGATGCATTAATCATATTATGCTTGTTAGTATTAACTATTATTACCATTTAATTAAGTACTACTTTAACATAACTTGGCTATAAACAGGTAATATTTTGTATGCTATATCTATATGTTGTTAAGTTAATACCGTATTGATTTTCTTAGATAATTTATATGCTATCGCTGCTGATAATTAAAAAATTAATTTGTTGTATAATATTTAGAAAAATTAGACCCAGTTGATTCAATAAATTATATTTTCAAGGCTCATTATTTCATTAAACAAATTAAGAAACTAATGTTATAGATAGCCCATTTTTTCAAGAATATTTAGATTTAAGATCATAAATGAAACTAGTGTTTAAATTATCAGTTTTTATTTTTTTTAATCTAATATAAGATTATTGATTATTGACGTCAAATCAAATACTTAAGAGGTCAAGTACATCAGAATAAAAAATGCCTATAGCTGAAAATTTAATTAATAATATCAATATAAATAAATAAAAGGATTTATCCATGCAGTTTAAAGTATATCCATATTATAATATTATTTTGAAGTGTTCATTATTATAATAGATATTATAATTGTAATGTAATATTTAAAAAAATATTTTAAGTTATTGAATTTTTATAATTTAGATTCTTGGAATAGAACCTTGCCTGTCTCGAGTCAATGACTTAATTAAAGAAGCTCTTAAGAAAGCTGATCTTAATAACAATATCAAATTAAATGGATTGGTTTGTATACATTTAAAAGTGATTTGATTGTACATGTTTTGTTTAATTATAAAATATATCTATTTATAGGGATTGAGTTTAAGTGGATGCGAAGATCTAATTTTCTGTAAAACATTTGAGAGTAAATTAATAGAATGTTATCCAGACCTTACTGACGCGGTAACTGTTGTTAGTGATACATTGGCACCAATCGCACTAGCTTGTGAATCAGGTATTTAAAAAAAAAACTATTGGATGAAAATAATTAACTGTGTTTTACACTGTTGATTAATATTGAATTCCATGTATACAATTTATTATGATACAAATTGAAATTAAATTTTTCTTACTTTAAAGGAGGAGCTGTTATTATTTCTGGTACTGGTTCAAATAGTCTACTAATAAATCCAGATTCTTCAATAAAAAGGTGTGGAGGCTATGGTCACTTACTTGGTGACGAAGGCAGCGGTAAGATGAATACAATTTCTAATTGCCTTTCTTAATAATTTAATTTGTTTTAAATGAAAAACATTTTTATTGATAATACTATATATTTTTTAGCTTTTTGGATAGCATTCAAAAGTATTAAATTATGCTTGGATCATTTAGAAGATTTTAATTATGTTCCAAATGGTTACTCAATTGACAGAGTGTGGGAAGCAATTAAAGCACATTTTAATATTGATAAAGTGTAAAGTATATGTCACTATTTTATTACTAAAACATAACAATAAGATAACATGTTATTCTATAACAAATAATATATTTTTTGTTCAATATATAAAATTATTTGTTTATACTGTACTTAGATAATTTCTTAATCTGGATATAAAGTATAAACTTATATTTTTGTTAAAACTATTAAGAAATAAATTAAAGAAACAAATACAATTTTAACTAGTTTTTTTTTATTTTTAATATAATGTATTAATATATATTTGAATAGTTTAGTTTTAATAAGTTATTTTGAACTTAAAATATGATTATAATATATTGATTACATTAATTAATAGTTTAATACTAATAACAAACAAAAATTATTAAAATAATGAAGTTAAATAATAAGTACTCATAACCAATAATTAATTTATAATCAGTCTAGATTTGTTGAATGTATTTTACGGTGAAAAAAAAGAAAAATCAGAAATAGCTAAATTGTGTAAAACAATATCAGAACTAGCTGAAGATGGAGATGAACTAAGTCTGTGGATCTTTAGTGAAGCTGGAAAAGAGTTAGCCAAATTTATACAATCACTCTACCCAGGTGCTGATAAAGTAAGATCTTATATATTAAATATTACCACATAGTAAAATTTAAATTGTTTTAAATACTAATGTAACTTAAATTTACTTTTTAATGGTATTTGTATTTTACTGTACTGTTGGCTATACTCAAGTAAAAATGATTTTGTTTTGATTCTAAATTTACTACACTAATATGTTTGGTTTTAATTTTAAAAAGAAACAAAGTAAATTAATTTCGGAAAACTTAAAAAAAAACTTTTATAAGTAATAAAAAATAATGAATCAATAGTTTAACTGTTTAGCAACTCAAAATTAAATGGATTTATCTACAAATGTGTTTTTTTCAATAATTGATTTTATTATTAACACTATTTCATTCAAATTCATTAATAATCAGTGATTTAAATAAGTAGAAAAAAGTACTTCTTTTTTGAATTTTTTTAAACATTACCCTTCTAACTTTTCTAAATTATCCATATATTATGAAGTTTCCTGGTTCAGAAACATAAATTTAAATATTTTTTGTATATTTTTAAAATCCTATATTCAAAAAGGAATGCAAACTATTTAAGAAAGAATCTTAATTATATGAAATGTTATCTATTTATTAAGCTCAAATATTCTATTTAGGTACACTCTTTTAAATTGGTGACTAGATTTTTACCTGCTAGGTAATTGAGATAATTATTATTTTATGATTAGTGAATATTCCTAATAACCTGTAATGTATATTTTAAAAAATTAAATAAATGTATTTAGGTATTGAATGAAATAATAAATAAAATAAAATGCTCATGTTTCTAATATTAATGTGAGTGTTAAATTAAAAATAATAAATCATAACTTGCTAATAAATGTTTTCTTTATACATAGATGTTACATAAAGAAAATGGTGGATTGCACGTGGTGTGTGTTGGCTCTGTATGGAAAAGTTGGGAATTACTCAAAGAAGGATTTATGAATCAACTTGATCACCACCATAACTCACAAGAAACTATAGTAGATGAATTTACCTTATTGGTGCTTGAAAAGACTGTTGCTTTAGGTGGAGTATATCTCATTGCAAAAAAATTAAATTACAATTATCCTTATGATTATGAACATAACTATCGGAAACTTTTCCATTATGTACATGACCGACAAGGCCAATAATGAAGTAGTGAAAATTGAATCAAAAACAAATGTGGCCTTACCAATTTTTAATGTAATTATTGTTTATAACCATTGGGTCTTACTGTCTTAGATTGGTGGTCTCTGCTCATTTTTGTATACTTGTTATTTGAGCACTATACATTTTGTTATAATAATTATACTTTACTTAATTTGTGAATAGGTTTAGAATATATTTGAAAACCAAACTAGTTTTAATAGTAACAAATAACTTAGCTCTAGGAAAAATATACACTGTCAATTAACCATTCTTTGTATCCTTATTGTATTTAAAAATAGACTATGATAAGTTAATAAAATATTAACAAAAATCACAAGTATGGGGCCAAATAGTTTTATTGTTCATTTTATTTTAATCATTGTTGTTATTTGTTTTTTTTTAAATTTATTAATTTAATAATATTTTAAGTCATACTGCTATCTTTTAAGCTTATCTATAAATGTCCATTTGATGAATAATTTTACTTAAAATTCTAAAAAAAAAAAAACAAAAGTGATTACTGATTACGTATACAAATAGGTACATCTTATTTGTAATATCATATTTTTACATCACTAAATTTTAATGTTTAAGTAATTTATTTAGAATTATAGTGTTAATGGTACTTGGAAATTGTAGTTACCTCAATATTATTTTGAATATATATTTAATTTGTTATTATTGATGATTGCATTTTTAATTCTTTACTGTCTGCCTATGTGTGCATAAAATTGTTGTTTAATGTTAATATTTATTTACTTAGCAAATATTGTTGGTAAATTATCAATAATCATTAGTCGTATTGTTTAGTGTTTCATACCTACAGATTGAAGTTTTCAATTACTTTATGTTTTATAAATATCACAAATAACTTAAATGTATTATCCTCTTAAGCAGAGAAGACTGGGGGCGGGGCATTTAAACCAGACTTCATATAATTATACAATGATACATTTTTGTCAATAATAAAATCTATTTAAGAAGACTTTACACTGACATTTGATGTCTCCGTCTTACAAATGCGTAACATAGCAAATTGTACGTTCAGCAGAACACGTGTACCTCTGTTACCTTAAAAACTAGAGTGAATTGACCTCTTATAAAATTTAAAGTTCAGATTATTATCAAGGCAATTTCATTGTTTTTTTATTAGATTTTAATTTTAAAGCGAGTTATAAGTATTTTAAGATGTACAAACAACATACAATTTTAAAATACTCATAACTTGCTTTAAAATTAAAATATAATAAAAATCCCTAAAAATAATAACAATTTTTTTTCCACAATCGTTTGTAATTATAATTTAAAAGCTTTTAACTTTTAAGATCTTAGTTTTATTTTCACTTAAAACTATGTAATACAATTAATATAGTTTAGCTACAAATAAATTGTTGTTATGTAAAACAATAATGTGTTCGTATGTTGGTTTTTTACAATTATACAGTTTTTAAGTGAGTTATGAGCATTTTTAATTTACGCTATATTATATTTCCATAACTTGTTAAAAAATTGAACTATCGTAAAAAACCAACATACGAACACAGATAATGTTCTTAGCATCAAGTTTCATGATAGGTCGATTCACTCTAATTTTTAAACTAACGGAGCTAAACGTTATCTGTTGAGCGTACATTTGCCATGTTCGACACCTGTAGGGCGGAGACAACAAATGACCATGTGGCGTCCTCTTAAATGATCTTCAAATTGAATTGAAATGTTTTCGTTCTAAATGGAAAAATTTAAATAAAAGTATTCAGACACATTATTCTGAGTATACAAATGAAATAAAAGATGATTCTGAAAATAGCGATGAAAATCAATATTATGAAAAATGTGAATAAAGTAATAACAGCCATGAATTATGATAATGCAGTTGTATTAATTGTATTTACTTATTGGTTCACGGTTGTATTAATTGCACTGCTACAAGTTAATAATTCATTATAATTTGTTTGGTGGAGCTTATTTTGGGTTATTTATTACGTTACAAATTAATTTTCCAGAGAAAGTAAAACAATATTCTGCACACCACTGTTTTCGTGTTTTTTGTTGAAAAATTACATTGGTATGTTTTGAGATGGCCACGCTGCACCTCACTGGTTCTACGCAACTGAATAGAAACTGTAACATTATTATACCATTTATACCTATATTTTGTTTTATAGTAATCCAAATTTCAAATACCTATGTATATATATATAATATATAGGTGGCCTATGCATATACAATCGATATTCTAACGTGTATATCGTGTCATCTATATGGCAATATATGCATAGGTAGGTACCTAAAGTTCTTGGCGTCTCAAAAATCAAAAGTACCTAAGTACGATTGTAGCGTGCCGGCCATGAACATTTCCAGTGGCGTGTTGAACTCATTTTTGGTGAGGAGCAAAAATGTATATAAGGTAACCTCGGTAAAAACTCAGCAAAAAAAGTTTAAATTAAAAATTTACAAAATATGCGTACATTTGTAACGATTTGTACGATCGGATATGATATTTTTACTATACACCAAGTCACCTATAGGTGGCTAGGTATTTTGTGGCAGGGGGATACCCCACCGACCAACAATTTTGAAGGAGCAATTGCTCCAAAATAATACCTTTAACACGCCACTGAACATTTCTATTCACGCGGTAACGTCTACATCATGGGTTCTTGATTTATTGGCAAATTCAATACCCAAATTAGGTACCCATTATAATCACTCGACACAAAACAATAATAATTTTTAATTTAACATTTTATTCATTTAATTAATACAAATACAATTTGGTATAAGGTACAGGTAAAGGTATATATAGTATACTATAGGTATAAGTGTATATAAATATATACTTAAAATTAACACTATAGTAACAATTAACTATATCAATATTGTATAATAGTTTAATACTTTAATGTATATAATAATATGATTTTAAAAACGAAATAATTAACAAACACGTATGTCGTATATATATAATATTATATTAGATAGGTAGGTATCAGAAAGTGCGTGGAAATGAACTATTTTCAAAACAATATCTACATAATATTTGATTGTCACCGTATACCGTTTTGATTAAATCATTCCTATTAGGTACGAAATACATAGTTTTTCAAGATCACGTCACGTCATTTAGGTACATATTATTTAAAACAATAAAATATATTTCCGTACATCAATAATGTGGCGATTTGAATCGCCACGATTAAAATATAATATTAATCGTAACAATTAAACAAAACAAATAAATAAACATAATAATAGTTATTAATCATAACCGCATAGTACAAAACAGGTACTCAATATAATACCTAAGTATAATAATAATAAATAAATAAATAATAATATTATAGGTAATATGACTAAAAGATACAAAATACGAGTGACCACCTGTTTTGAAAAATCGAAATGGTAGCATAATACATTACCTACCTATGTTATATATTGTCTATATTATACTGACCACTCGTGTGATGTGAATAAAAACCATAATGTACCCAATATGTAGGTAGGTAAGTTATTCTAGTTACAGCATAATACCATTCTTACGTATAAATTCTATAAACTCATTGATAAATAATATTAATGTCTAATGAGAAGTGATGCAACGCCGCGCGTTGCTAATCGTAATCAATAACAGTGTGTAATTTAATTTATATACATGATAATAATTAATAAATACAGGTAGGTACCTACAGACTTAAAAAACGGTTTGTTTCGCGATATCGTTATTATTATTAATATATTTTACATATATTTATTTATAAATAAAAATATATCAATTCGCACAATATGCATAAATGCGCAGTGAACTTTGTGGCAAGTGCCTACCGAATCTATATACCTATTTATTATTAGGTATATTAATATAATAATATCGTGGATGGAAAATTAAATGAATAACACCTATATACGTATATATATATAGATTATAGGTGTTTAAGGTATTTTATCGATTTGATTTAACAAACACCATGAACCTGTAGTTATTATTGTTTCGAAACTTCAAAAATTCTGGACGGCAGATAGTATATAGCTACCAATATTATGATGCATATATATGTTATGTACTTTTGTCTTATGCGGTGTATAATATTTATTTGATTATATAATATGTATTATAGGACCATAGGCACAAATTGGAGGGTGGCTTGGGGGTGCTAAGCCCCCCCAAAAACCTTGGACATACAATTTTTAATATGCAATGGTCTGTTTACCTTTAATACATTCAGCCCCCCCCCCCAAGTCAAAAGTTGAAATTGCGCCGTATAGGACGTCAATGGAAATTGAAGAAAATATATAATACATATTATTATGTATTAATCTATATTGTGCTTGAATAGTCTAAGAGTCCAAATTAAATATCATTGCACGCCTAGGTATATCAAACATCAGTTGTGAATTGTGTGCAACATGTTTATAATAACAATACCCCTAATAATAATAATTATTCGGCAAACTTCTCAAACTTGAGATTGCCCGCGACATCTGTACGTAACAAAATATATATTATATTTTAAAGCAATTACAAATTGTTACTTATGTTTAGTTGGGCGGTTCACTGGTAAGACGATCGATACAACAAATATGTTCTACGTAGTTTTCATTATCAAAAAAACCTATTTGAGTGTTTTCAAATAATTTTAAATAATATTACATAAACATGAATACATAATATTACAATTACATAATAATAATACATTTTTTTTTTTGTTTCGCCAAAACTTTACGCTACAGTTCGTTTAATTTAAATTGAAGAATTATTTTATACATGCGTTTGACGTAACACGTCATAGGTATTAATAACCTACTCAGTTGGGTACGTAAATTTAATTCGAATAGAAAAAGTATGATCGACACACATCCTATTATCCTAAACACGGGTAATACTACTAAATTATAAGTAAAATATAAAGGAACTATTTCTCATTAATTGAATCAAATTTGTAGGCACAGATAGTTAATAATAATTAATAATATTATATTATACGAGTACGTATAATTATGTAGA